TATTTGATTTATATCCCACCCATCTGGTATATTTATACCACTCTGAGCGGCTAACAATAACATACATACATTAATCCATAAACGTCAGCTATTAACAAAACATATAGCTCTTTATGCATTGCTTCACTTGTGAATGGACAGCTATCAATTCAATCCTCCTCCTTGTCATTGACATTATACTTATGCATTGTGGATATTCTAAACAAAAGAAAAATAATAGATAGATTCTTTGAAACATTACTTTTGTTTTGATTTTAAAGAGTCTTGTGGCACAGTTCTTAAACTGCAGTACTGCAGCCAAAATTCTGCTCACAACCCAGGTTCAATCCCAGGTAGCCAGTGTGACAAACCCAGACCTACTGGGATCTATCACACAGTTACTAAGCTGCCACCAACCATTCCCTATAATAAGTCACACAGACCAGGGATGGATTTTTAAACAATAAAAGAATAAGGTTTATTTTAAATACAAACAGGGTAAATAAAACAATCAGGTGAATAAAAATAAAGTAACGTGGCTTATTCTCACACACACAAGCATACAGTTTGGTTCACCTAGAACCTTTAACTTAAAGCACAGACCCTGAACCCATCAGTTCTGGCTAACCAACAGACCCCTGAACCTTTCAGGCTGGTACTCTGACACACAGTAGTACCCTGTCAGACACCCAGACTCCCACAACAGCCTCTTCTTCCCCAGCTGCTGCTTCGTCCCAACCCAGTGTCTCACAGTCTGTCTCAGCATCTCCTCTTCACCACACAGGCATCACATATTTATACAGTACAGCCCCTCCTCCTGATGTCCCGCCTTCCACTCCCCATAGGATGGAACTTTCCCTCCAAACCCATGACAGACAGGTAACATCAGTGCTGTTATGTAACAGGCTCCTCTTAGATTCTTATGTTAAGGAGCAAAAAGCAGTGTTTTGTATTTCTTGTCAAAACTGCTTCTGTGGTCCTTGTTAGTTTATTCCCCCCCCCCAACTAGATCAGTGATGGCGAACCTATGGCACGCGTGCCACAGCTCTGTGGACACCCGAGCCATAAGTCACCATAGAGAAATATTTACCTGTCCTCCGATCCCGGATTTTGGCACTCCCCTCTGCTGGTGCAGTAGTCCAGCGGAGGGGTGTAATGGCGACCATTACCGGTCTAACCCAATGGGGGATAGGAGAACCAGTGAGTATTTATTTGTTAATACCGCCCATAGGGGGAAAAATAAACCAAGCATTTAACCCTTGCAGTGCAGGAGCAGTTGTTCTTTCTAAACTAAAACCTCAGCATTTGGGGTTTAATTGCAGTATTGGCACTTTGAAATAAATAAGTTGATTTTGTGTTGCAGTTTGAGCACTTGGGCTCAAAAAGGTTCACCATCACTGATCTAGATGCACAGAAGATATTGGATTAATATTCAAAAGCATTTAAGTGCAAGGTAGAATACAGTAGGAGTGTGGTATCTGCGGGAGAACGATTCCAAGCCTCCCCTATGGAGACCAAAAAATGCGGATTATAGCAAATGAGTATTGGCACTTTGAAATAAATAAGTTGATTTTGTGTTGCAGTTTGAGCACTTGGGCTCAAAAAGGTTCACCATCACTGATCTAGATGCACAGAAGATATTGGATTAATATTCAAAAGCATTTAAGTGCAAGGTAGAATACAGTAGGAGTGTGGTATCTGCAGGAGAACGATTCTAAGCCTCCCCCATGGAGACCAAAAAATGCTATAAATAACATGGTCTTTGGCTCCCTCTTGTGGCCAGTTCTGGTAATGTTATTTTTAGAAATATGTATTTATGGGATAATTCTTTTAATATTTTTGGACTGCAGTTAAGTGAATCAGCAGATCCTGATCCTCTGGATAAGGGGGTCCTACTGTATTTTTTTTTCCAATGGTCCACCTGGCAGTTTTAATAGTGGGTCAGCTCCAGTCACAACAAAATGCACACAGATAACCTTTGATCTATATTCCTGCATTGAGCAAGGGGTTGGGCTCGATGGTTTTGGGTTTTAATATTTTTGGACTGCAGTTAAGTGAATCAGCAGATCCTGATCCTCTGGATAAGGGGGTCCTACTGTATTTTTTTTTCCAATGGTCCACCTGGCAGTTTTAATAGTGGGTCAGCTCCAGTCACAACAAAATGCACACAGATAACCTTTGATCTATATTCCTGCATTGAGCAAGGGGTTGGGCTCTATGGTTTTGGATCTTCTAACTTCATTAGTTTCTTCTCTGTTTCCCTTTTCAGCTCTCTGTTACGTAGATCCATTTCAGTTTCCATAGCGCAGCAGCCTGGGATAGCAGAGCAACCTGGTCTATCAGTTTCAAAGTGTGGTCTCTAGACCTCAATCATATTGTGGTTTCTGATTCTTGTTCTTCTAGTTTGCCATGCAACCAGAAACTGTGGCATCTCTAATCAGAAATATCATGACACTGTTTAAACATCTTTAGCCATAGAATGATGTGATGTCTAGATTTGAGCTTATGTGAAAATAAGGAATGGTGAGCTTAGTATAGTTGTCTGATTCCTTCAGCAGCCCTTAGCATATTTGGAAAGACTGCTCCAGAGTTTTTTGCATGATTATAGCTTGAATTTGCAAGCTAGAGATCAGAGGGGATGGAAGGACATAAGGGACACAATTGTCCGTCTCCCTACTAAACTCCGCCATAGGTCTTTTCTTTAGAAAATTTCCTGAATTAAAATGCTGCTTCTGAAATATGGGTGCTCTGCCTAGGTCTAGAGCTTTGCAACAGTCACAGATTTGGCAGCGCATGCCATTTTGCATTAAATATTTTATGAAACGGGTGGCCAATGGTTACTCTGTGGAGCTGTCTAGTACATTTGCTACCTTCTTGATCCCCAGTTTTTTCTGTCTTCTTTGTTAACTTGAACGGGTTCCATCTTGCTGAGATTCTTTTAAGCGGTGGCGAGGTCTCATTTTATTACAACCTTTATTGTTTTGAATCTCTTTTTAACATGCCCTCTTTGATGGATAAATCAGTTTTTCTTCCTGCGTTGCAGCCTCTTCACGGCATTTTGGAAGCCACGGTGTTCCCATGCAGAAGTCCCCACTGAAGACCCCAGCGCCTCGGAAATACGCTCCAGTACCCGTAGCTAAAGATGTCAAGATCTCACAGAAATTGTCTAAGAGAGAACAACCTACTGGAGAAAAGGAAAACATTTGTCAGCTGCCTTGTGGAGGAATTCTAGGTAAGATGGGGGAAAGTCCACAGTCAGATGCTCCTTTCCCTCTTGCTTACACAGATGTTCCCATGAGAATATCTCACACTTGCCTGTATTAAACATATCTCACATTCTTGAATGTACAGGAGGATCCCCCTATCCACGGTCTTGACATCTGCTGATTCACTTATCCGCTAGCTGAAAATACTAAATAAAAAACCCCGGAAGTATGTTTTTCCAGAAGGGCACCAGAGACCATGCAATGTACAGCATTCAATGCTTCCTCATTTTTTCAGCAGCCACGGCGGGGGTGGGGGTGGGGCTTGGAATGGATCCCTTGTGCATACTGTGATCCTACTGTATTTTAGGCTTTTTATTCTAAATACTGTGGTGTTCAGTTATAGCTGTGGAATGGCTTGTATGAAGTTCTGGAGGCGACTTTTTTCATTAGCAGTCATTGTTCCTATCGGGTCAGCGTTGAAGCTTGACCAAGAGATATTCCCCCCCCCATGGAGTTTCTATAAAAGATTTCTGAGTTTCTATAAAAGAGTTTAAAATTAATAGTCACCGTGTGGTATCACACGTATCTTAAGAGCCCCCTCTGAGACCATGGAAATGCTCATATTCAGGAAGAGAACCTATTAAATAATCCATATTTGTGTATGTATACATGGAACCTTATTTAACTAAAATGAAGCATTGTGGCTGATCTCTTTTCAGGGGGTGGAAACCTTCTGGAGCAAATCTTGAATTCCCAAGAAACTCTGTTAAGTGGGGAGACATCTTCAAGGAAGGATCCGGCAAACAGCAATGCAGTACCACGAAATTTTGGAAGACAATAGTAAGTGTCTCCTATATGAGTTTTTGTTCTTGGCTTTTCAAGCTAGACAAGGGCCAGCTGTTTGTTGTTGTGATGGTGGTTGTTTTAAACCTGCAGTACTAAAAAGGGAGGGTTTGTTCTTTTCTCTCCTTTGCTATTTTTTTTTTAGATTTCTTCTACTTCTTCATATTTTAGGTAAAGGTTCCCCTTGACATTTAGTCCAGTCGTGTCTTGACTCTAGGGTGCGGTGCTCATCCCTGTTTCCAAGCAGTAGATCCAGCATTTGTCTGTAGACAGTTTCCATGGTCACGTGGCCAGTGCGACTTAGACACAGTACCATGGTGGTACCCATTTATCTTCTTGCATTTGCATGCTTTCGAACGGCTAGGTTGGCAGGAGCTGGGACAAGCGAAGGGAGCTCACTCCGTCGCGTGGATTCGATCTTACGACTGCTGGTCTTCTGACCTTACAGCACAGAGGCTTCTGCGGTTTAACCCACAGCGCCACCACGTCCCTCTTCATATCTTGGGATTTCTCAAAAACACGCTAAACTCTTTCTCAGCATCCCAGTCCTTCATTCTCACTGATGCTGTTTTGGCTACATTCCTAAAATATATTTCCTAACCCACTTCAGTTTAGCAGTGAGGCTTTATCTTGATCTGTTGTCCAGTACCATATAAGTCAAGGATTTGCTTTCAGAGGCTTCCTTGACTGTAATCCATGTTGTTGACAATGGTTAGTTTTTGAAAACATTCAGTGAAGAAGTAGGCAATATTTTCAGAACAGGTTTGAAATCAGAGAAATAATGGATTGGATGGGAAATCAGCTTGCTTTATATCTCTGCTGAGCTGACAACAGAAGACCAGATCAGCTAACTCATGACAACTGCAGTGGCGAAGAACAGGCATGCTTGGGTGTCAAGTCTTCCTACAATTGGTTGTTGTGGCTTTTTCAGGCTCTTTGGCCGTGTTCTGAAGGTTGTTCTTCCTAATGTTTCGCCAGCCTCTGTGGCCGGCATCTTCAGAGGACAGGAGTCAAAACGGTGTCTGTACTCTGTCCTACAATTGTCAGATGTCTTATTTTAGTAGGAAGTTCTGCCGCTCCTCAGAGTTGCTTGTTTTCAGCCATGGCGCATGACACACACAGTCCTATTTTCCAAGAATGTTGTACAAATGCTGCAGGTTAGTTGGCAATATAACCTTAACTCAGCAGAGGCCTACAACGAGAAATGGGCACAAACCAGTTTGTCCCAGCTCATCCCAGTTTGTAAAGGCAGCAGCACCAAGTATGCTTCTCCCCTCCCCTCCCTTCTCTGGCTCAGTCATCCCCTCATCAGACCTGGCGTGGTAGCTTCTGCCACCTCCTCAACTGATAAATATTGGGAATCTTTAAAACCCAATTAAAAACATGGTTGTACATCCAGGCCTTCCCTCCAGTCAATACCTGATTTCTTTTCTATTCCTTCTTATTTTATTCTCACTCTATTTTATTATAACTGTATCAAATGATTATGTAATATTCTTGTGTTTTATTGTTTTATCCTATACTGGAAGCCGCCTAGAGTGGTCGAGTAGACCAGATAGGCGGGGGATAAATCAAATGAATGAATGAATGAATGAATGAATGAATGAATGAATGAATGAATGAATGAATGAATGAATGAATGAATGAATAATCTTCCAGTCCTGGCAAGAGCTCAGGCTTCTCTGCCCCACCTTCTTGGCTGATCTCCCAATCAGAGATAGGGCGGGGCAGAGAAGTCTGTGCTCTTGCCCTTGACTGGGAGATTAGCCTAGGAGGAGGTGGGAAAAGCAAGCTAGCTGGGCCTGGTAAGTGCCTGGATCGGCTGAGGAGGCGGGAAAGGGCTGCTGCCTTTACAAAATGGGACGAAATGGTTCAAGCCCATCTCTCTCTCCAAGTTAGACTCTTGTGAGAACACACACTTTTGTCAGCTGCACTGAACATTTTGAAATACTCTTCTTAGCAGATCCAGCCTTTTCCAGACGGAGCCCTTCCACGCCTTTGAAAACACAAATCAGAATCTCAATCCGGTTGAGAGGACAGTTCAGAAAGCAGACGAGGTGCTTCGAGATCTTGGACAGCTGAAGAGGGAAATGTGTGGCATACTGCAGGTAAAGCGGAAGAGAACTCTTACCGGGATTGTTAACAGACAAGAAAAGCTTGAAAGAAGCTGTCGAGCAAAATCTTGAGATCTGTATTGCGAATCAAATCCGTTCTGTCTGAAAATCCAGACTCTAGACATCAGTGCAAACAGAACGGTTCTGCAGACAGAACGCCATAGATCTCATGTTGTCTGCGTAAGGTGCTCCTTAAACTGCTGGTGTACATTTTGTTTAAGAACAGTTTATAATAGTTGGAACTAAAGAGAGGCTTCTGCTCTTAAAAAGAGAGAAGGTTTCCTGTGCAGCATAGTGTGCGAGGCAGAAGAGAGTCTTGGATTTATGTTAGGGAGAGCTGGCTTCCTCTTCCTAATCAGCTATGAAACTCACTGGGGCAATTTTGGACAGTCCAGCATGTTTTCTTCAAACCATATATAGCACACTGTTGCAAAGAATCCATGGAATAGTTTGATCCATTCCCCTCCTTTTTGGTTATGGTTTTCCCTGTGTTGTGGAGAATACACAACATGTCTTGATCAACAATGGACTATTCTTTTTTTCTAGCTACCTAAACAATTGCATTGATTGCACTGGACAGAGAGAGAGAGAGAGAGAGAGAGCCTCCGAAGTAATGGTTCCCAACTTTGGGTCCCCAGATGTTCTTGGTCTTCCAGAAGCCTTCACCATTAGCTGTGCTGGTTGGCGTTTCTGGGCATTGCAGTCCAAGAACATCTGGACTGGGAACCGCTTCTCTGAGGAATCAGTAACATTTTATTAGGATAAATAAGATTTTAAAAATACAGAATTATTAGAATGAGGCTTTGAAGTAGGCTGGCTAAAGGAATGGGGTTTTATTTCTTTATTTTGAGAGCTGCAAGGATAAAGAGGGGTTTGGAAACATTTTGATTTTTAAAAAGGTGCCATGAAATGTAACGATTATGTTATATGCTACTTCCAGTGGAAATATGGAAGAGGAGGTCTTAAATGGGTCCAAAATGCTGCAGCTAGATGGTTAACTGAGGCTGGTTGCAAGGAACTTTTAACCCTTGTTATAGCAGCTCCACCGGCTATTGATCCGTTTTCGAGCACAGTCTAAAGTGCTGGTTTTAACCTAGAAAGCCCTAAACGGCCTGGATCTAAGCTATCTCAAAGATTGTGTCTCCCTTTATGAGCTGGCTCAGGTGTGAAGATCATCAGGGGAGGCCTTCCTTTTGGTCCCACCATCTTCAAAGATGCATCTGATGGGGACACAGGAGGCGAGGGCCTTCTCTGTGGCTGCTCCTTTAGACTGTGGAACTCCCTCCCACAAGACGCCCACCTGGCCCCCTCTTGGCTGTCCTTCCGCAAGCAGGCCACGACCTTTCTCTTCAGGAAGCCTTTTCCTTAATGGCAGGTGGTCTGAGAGGGTTTTTTTTAAATGGATTGTTGTGCTCTGTTGTTTTAAATATATTTTAGTATGGATTATATTTAACATTTTAAAATAAAATAGTTGTTTAATTCCTTTTTAAAATATTTATATACTTACTGTTACTGTTTTCAGCTTTTTAATATTGTCTTTTAATTGTTGTAAGTTGCCCTAGGTGCTTTTAAGGAGAAAGGTGGGCTAAAAATGAATGCCTCGTCCCTTCTGTTTTGCTTCCGTTTGAAAATTCGTTCAGTCGTGCCATGCGTTACTTAAGCTTTTAAGCTATGCTTTGTTATTATTGTTTGCAATTTAGTGTTTTGTTTGATGGAGCTGGTTTTAAATGTTTGGAAACCGCCCAGAATAGTGTTTCTATTGTTTGCAATTTAGTGTTTTGTTTGATAGTGCTGGTTTTAAATGTTTGTAAACTGCCCAGAATAGTGTTTTGGCACTAATGGAGCAGTAAATAAATTAAAAGTAAAATATGAAATAAATACAATATTTTAAATAAAGAATATAAACACAGTGTTATCTTGTCTGTGCTGGGAAAATTGTCCTGAATAAATGGTTCATTATTTTCTTTCTCTTTTTCTGCCTTGCAGGATGCAAAGGAGTGGAAATCGGACATGAATAGTTTTATAAAGGTTCGGTGTCTCTTAATTTTTTAAAAAAATCTTGATTGCCTTTACGTTCTGAGACATTTGAGTAGAATCAATGCACTCAAACCGCAAACATGTAATCCTTAAAAATCACAAGATGGTAGCACCAAAAATGTTCCTTGGCTCTTTTCTTAGATACTGAAATGGAACAACATTAGAAACCATTAGCTCTGGTGACTCTATATCACCTCCATTGTCAGAGGCAGGATGTCTCCTTGTATCAGTGTTGTTGCCGCCCCCTTTTCTGGCAACGTATCTCCTCTTGCAGCGTCTGGTTTGCCATTGTGGGAGCAAAATGCTGGGGGGAAAATTATGAACAGGAAGCCAACAGACCTCCAGAACCAGCAGAGAACCCCATATAGTTAGGTACAGTGGTGCCTCGCTTAACAGCGATAATCCATTCCAGGAAAATCGTCGTTAAGCGAAAACATTGTAAAGCGAAAATAAAAAGCCTATTGAAACGCATTGAAAACCTTTCAATGCGTTCCAGTGGGCTTAAAACTCACCATCCAGCGAAGATCCTCCATACGACGGCCATTTTCGCTTCCTGTACTGTATAGCAAGGAATCCGTCCCTAAACACAGCGGGGAGCCATTTTAATTACCCGGTGGCCATTTTGAAACCGCCAATCAGCTGTTCTAAAAATGTCGTTTTGCGAAGAATTGGTTCCCGAAGCAGGGAACCGATCATCGCAAAGCGAAATTCCCCATTTAGACCATCATTTTGCGATTGCAATTGCGATTGCAAAAAGATCATCGTTAAGTGGATTCATCGTAATGTGGGGCAATCATAAAGCGAGGCGCCACTGTAAATATACTCAGGTTGCAAATCCTGGAATGTTCTTCAATGCCTATATTCCTTCAGTCTTGAGTTATTTTTCTTAAAATAATGGATAGTCACAAAAGTAGTATGTCAGCATATAATGCATCAAGTTACTTTTGCAACATTGTAATGTGATGATGAAGAATTGTTTTTGAAAGACTGTGTAGGCTGTAGGGGGAGAATTTCTATGACGTCATATTTTTTCCTGCAACCTGTGAGTTTATGGCTGGGTTTGACCCTGTTTATGAGTAATCTGGTGAGAAAGGCCAGATTACTCATAAACGTGTTTGACCTTGCTTATGGGTTCAAGCATAGGGTGCAGGGAAAACATGAAATGTCACAGTAATCCTCAATTGATGAGGATTGGGGACAGATTAAAAAATTACCTTTCCAACTTCTATAATTTCTGACCATATAATGCTCATTTTTGTGAAGTTTGGCCAGTGATGCGGCTTTGGCAGCCATTTTGGGGGGGTCCTACAAGCAACCCCCCCCAACCAGCCTTGATGAGGAAGCTCACGTAGAACAAGAATCAAGTTTCTCCAGGAGAAATTGAAATTTAGGGGTTCCCAGCTTCATGGCCTTTACATGTGACCCTATAAACATGTATAGCTGGACTTATTAATATCATCTAGTGCTGAGGGCTGTCACAATTAACATTTTTCTTGAAATTGTAGACTACCTCGCATGTCAGGAAACCTGCGCAAGTGGAGGATCGCCTACCGCTGTCTCTGCCTGCCCATCCGTTGAGGTCATCATCCGATGCTCTTAACCATGTGCCCTCAAAAACAGAGGTATTGTGGGTGGAAACCATGGAGGGGGCTTTCTCAGTTATACCCGTGGAATGCTCTCCCCAAACAATCCTGTTTGCTCTTTCCTTGGCGCAAGACAAAGACATGATTTGTCCACTTTCTAAAGAATTGTAAGGCGTTGGCTGCATGTTTTCCTGCTTGTCATTGATCTTACTTTCCTCCCTTCCCTGCATATATGTTAACTTTCATAAATTAAGTCTGCACAAGGGTAAGGAGATTATCATCAGGAGGTGGGATTTTTGATAGTTAAAGAGATCCTACTTCTGGCGTGTGGCTCATCTCACTTAACTGTGATCCGTCTCGGTGCACGTGAGGTGTGAAAGCCCCCTGAAGGAAGTGGAGATTCTTAATTACTGGAATCCTCCCTTTCCTGGCAACATTACCTAGCACAGAGAGATCGTTAGCAATTTAAGAGTTCCTGCTTCTGTCTTGTGCGCCATAAGTCTCACCTGTAGACTGTCTTGTTGCTGCTCTAGGTTAGAGATCCTGTTGAGTCCCCTTATGGGGAGAAAGGTGACCGATAAATGAAACAAACAAGCATGCTTTGCTGTTGTTTCGTTGTTAAGTCATTACTGACTCTTTGTGACCCCATGGACCAGAGCACGCCAGGCCCTCCTATCTTCCACTGCCTCCCGGAGTTGGGTCAAATTCATGTTGGTCTCTTCGATGACACTGTCCAGCCATCTCATCCTCTGTCGTCCCCTTCTCCTCTTGGCTTCACACTTTCCCAACATCAGGGTCTTTTCCAGGGAGTCTTCTCTTCTCATGAGATGGCCAAAGTATTGGAGCCTCAGCTTCAGGATCTGTCCTTCCAGAGAGCACTCAGGGTTGATTTCCTTCAAGATGGATGAGCAAGATTTTGTCCGCTCTTTCATGATAAAGTTTTGCAGGGTGGTGGTGTTTGTTTTTGTTAAATTGATGTATTGTAAGCAATCCAGATGAATTTGACCCAACTCTGGGAGGCAGTGGAAGACAGGAGAGCCTGGAGTGCTTTGGTCCATGGGGACACGAAGATTCGGACACGACTTTATGACTAAACAACAACAAAAAGCAATCCAGAAATATGTATTTCGGAAAGAAAGTACATTTCATTCAGGATTCGCCAAATGTGGCTTTATTTTTGGAGAAAAGGCAGCTTTTATCTCTGCATATTAAGCTTCTCTGGTAGATCTCTTGAAAACCAGCTAGTTCAGTGGCTTTTTAAGAGGAGGGAAAAAACCTCGAGCGGCAAAGTGTCTTTTATGCTTTGCTCTTAAAAAATGGGGGTCAAAATACATTTACTTTTCTGGTAGTATTTTCCTTTAGACTGCAATCCTATGACCACTTACCTGAAACAAACCCCATTGAACTCATTGGGGCTTATTTTTGATTAAACATGTCTAGAATTGTCCTAATATTTATTTGCTCATCACAAGGGAGGTACAGAGTGTCACTTTCAAGATATACCTGGGCAGCAGCTCCCACCATTCATCGCTGTAATTGTCTGGCATTTAAAAAATGTGTTTGTTGTGTTCTAGAGATACAAATATATTTCCAGTTCTGAAACTGTCCTGTGTCCCAGAAGCCTCTTATAGGCAGTAGATGACAGAGCAAATACAAAGTCACGTTTGGTTTTGGATTTAAAATGGATTTAAATGTGTGTTTTAAAATCTGTTTTAAGGAGATGTTAAAAAGCTCACTATCTTTCATTCCCCCCTTTGTTTTCTTCTTTCTTCCTGTGTTTCATTATTTTTTTAAAAAAGAATAAGAAGAATGAAACTACCGTTTCCACCCAAAAATAAGACAGGATATTATATTATATTTTTTTGCTCAAAAATGCACTAGGGCTTATTTTCACAGGATGTTTTTTTTATATATATACAACAATTTACATTTATTCAAATATAGCCATGTCATCATCTTCTGGTTGCTGCACAAGGGCGGAAGGCAGGGTTTCACTTCACTGGGGCTCATTTTTGGAGTAGGGCTTATATGACGAGCATCCTGAAAAATCCTCCTAGGGCTTATTTTCAGGTTAGGTCTTATTTTCAGGAAAACAGGGTACTATGTGGTGGGCCAATATACCTCTGCCTATTGGCTGTTGGTGACAAGCAGGTGGTTCTTCCCACTTCTTATTTTATTTTGGATTTCAGCAGAAAGACCCTGCGGCTCCCAGTCTTTCTGAACTTCAGCAGCTTTCCAAGTCCTCTGTTCTGAAGTCAACCAAAGCATCCAGATCCATCTTGCGGGAGGCTGAGAAGATCCTGAGAGCTGTGCGCAAGAATAAGAAGCTCCTCGAAGAGAATTTGGAAGCTATTATTCGCGCCAAAGATGGCAACGCCTTGCATGTCTTCATAGATGAGCTGACAGCAGACAGGTAGAATATTCTTTTTTGTTTTGTTTTTAAACCTCTGTTTCTTTTGCCTAATACCCATTTTTATCTCCCCACTTAGGTCATTTATTATAGAATATTCTTTTTTGTTGTTTTTAAACCTCTGTTTCTTTTGCCTAATACCCATTTTTATCTACCCACTTAGGTCATGTATTTACAATAGGACCCTCCTATCCGTGGGATCCGTATCCGCTGATGTACTTATCTGCTGCCTAAAAATACAAAATAAAATCCCTAGAAATACCTATTTACAGCGGTACCTCAACTTACGAACTTAATCCGTATTGGAACGGCGTTCATACGTCGAAAAGTTCATAAGTTGAGGCAAACTTTTCCATAGGAATGCATTGAAAACCATTTAATCAGTTCCGGCTGTTTTTTGTTATGTCGAGGTGCTCTTCACAACTAGAGGCATTAATTCCCATAGGAACTAATGCAAAGCCGGTTAGTCCATATCTACCACTAGGAGGCGATTTTTAATTTTTCTTCTTCTTTTGACCTAAGATGAACTTAGGTTAAAAAAATAGGCCAGAAAGGTTTTTCATTTTTTTGTTCGTTAAGTCAAGGCTCTGTTCGCAAGGTGAAGCAACTTTTGGCGAACGGAGCCGTTTGTAACTTGAATCGTTCGCAAGTAGGGACGTTCGAAAGTCGAGGTTCCACTGTACTGTATATGTATTTCCAGGGTGTATTTACCAGAACTGGCCATGAGAAGGAGCCAGAGACCATGCAAGGTATAGCATTTGATCCGTGTTTTTCAGCATCCAAAGGTGGGTGGGGCCTTGGAATCGATCCCCCATGCACACCGTGGTCCTACTGCATTTATTTTGTGTTTTCTTCCTTGCAGGAGGTGAGCCAGCTCATGAAATAAATTGCAGTATTAAAATATAATTGAATGACTTATCGCATTAATTCCACACAGGATTAATTCAGTATTTAAGAGCAACAACAACAACAAAAAGAAGTGGAACAGCCACCTATCATTAAAAAACACACACCCTTCCTTGTCAGACAGTTCGTAGCTGTGTATTCCACATACCTGCCTTCAGGCTAAACATGACCACTTTGAAAGTAGTTGTGGCTGAAGGTCCTGGTTCTTTTCTTCCCTCCTTCCTTTGTGATCTCTTTCACTCGCCTTAAAAATGTTCTGCACTTCCCGATCTACCGTTAGGAGGCACATTTAGGGCTGGAAGAAGGCGGCGATGGTAACCTTCATCATCCCTCTTCCTTTTTTCTAGAGACGTCCTGGAGGAGATTCGAATCCGAAAGACGGTGGATGAGTGGATTAAGACCATCAGCTTAGAAATCCAGGTACGACTGCTGGGACTCTCAACAGGCAGGGCCAGAGTGCACCTGGTTTTTTGAAAGGAGTGTTTATGTGGTCCACCAGATGGCTTCACTGGAAGTGTGTGCCAGTTCTGACCCTAGAACGATTTCACGGGACGCCCCCCCCCTTGCAAGCAGTTCCAACAGGAATTCTGCATTTTTGTGCTGCGTCTCTCTCTCTCTCCTCTTTTTCTCATGCAACCATGTGCATGGGTGTACTTGTGCAAGGTCTGACCTCATGAGCTCCATAATGACAGGTGCCCCACGGATGGGGGGATGCGAAAGGCGTTGTGGAGCTGGCAGTTATCTAATCTAGAGGGTATGACGTCTCCCAAAAACATAGAGGTTGGCCCTACTAGAGCTGGTGCCATAGCTTGTGCCCTTCAGCCTCCTTAACCTGAGCCTTGTGGCGCCGTGGTTAAACTGCAGTACTGCAGCTCTTGAGCCAGGCTCCATCCCAGGTTGGTCAATTGGAGAACAGCTGGTTTCAGGCACACAGCATCACAAAACCCTTTGCCTGCTGGTCTGTATATATCAGAGTGACATCTGCTGAAAGCAGAACCCACAACTCCCAGAAACACATGGCACTAACCTGTAATCGTCCCAGCTGCTTTTATGCTTTGTCTTTAGGATGAAATAGCCAGGGAGGACTGGCTCAAGACTCACCCCGTCGCTAAGACGGTAAAGCCCAGCAGAGAACCAAACGGAAGACCTCCGTATTCATTGGGAATCCCGACGAGGAGACTTCTGCCTGCTGCCAGGTCCCCTCGAAAACTGTTGGATAAGGTGAGAACCCCGTTTTGAAAGCTACCAAAGGTTTGAGGACTTGATCATAGGAGTCCAGGTAGAGCTGCATGTGTCTGAAAAGCCTCTTTGGACACAAGTGGGAAAAAGAGTGTCCAGTATCGGCCTCTTCGAAGGTCAGCCTGTGTGAAACTGACCAGACTGTTCCCGGTGTGACGGCTTCAAACGGAAACCCTTTGCCTGCTTGGTGAATTTCCCTGTACATCTCAGACCTCCTGCTGTAGCTGCTGAGCTGGAGGGAGCAGGACTAAAAACCGATCTCAGTCTTACCTGGAGGAGATCCCTTGAAGTGAATAGGATTGTTTAAGGTAAAGGTAAAGGTTCCCCATGACATTGAGTCTAGTCGTGTCGGACTCTAGGGTGCGGTACTCATCCCCGTTACCAAGCCGTAGAGTCACCGTTTGTCCGAAGACAGTTTCTGTGGTTATGTGGCCAGCACGACTAGACACAGAACGCCATGACCTTCCCACCGAGGTGGCACCTATTTATTGACTCACATTTTTACATGCTTTTGAACTGTTAGGTTGGCAGGAGCTGGGACGAGTGACGGGAGCTCCCTCCGCCACGTGGATTCGATCTTATGACGGCTGGTCTTCTGACCTTGCAGCACAGAGGCTTCTGCGGTTTAACCCGCAGCGCCACCACATCAACACTCAAATAAGCCCTGTTGATTTTAATTGGTCTGTTCTAGGCAGGACTAAAATTAAACTTAGTCCCTACGCTATAAGTTCTGGACTCCATTGTAGCTTCATAGTCTGACTGATGTTTCTAAACCTTCTCGGACAAAACCTGTTAGGAACAGCGTGGGGGCACTGGAATGAAAAATTAGTTCCCCTCCCCCTTCATGCTGGGTAGAATCCAGTAGAGTCAACAACAGCCTCTTTCTATTCTCTTAACGGAGGAGAAGAGATTGGATTACACCAGAGATGGGCACAAAACTCTGGTTCGGCAGTTCGTGCCATTTCGTTGACCTCTGCAACCGGGGGGGGGGTTTGGTGGTTTGGGGCCCTGCCCCCTCCGGTGGTCACCCACTCAGAAGCAGTGCCCGGAGGAGGTGGAACAGCAGAGACGTTGGTGCTCATCTCTGAATTACACCCGTCACCACTCAGGAAGTGACATGGTCTAGATAGGAAGAAAAGCAAAAAACCCCTTCCACCCTTTTAGGGTCCCCCCCCTTGCCAGCACCTGGATTTGGGTCACCTCATTTTCTTCTCTTGTCCTGTACGGTGGGCAGTGTTTGCCTCTGCTCAGTCCTCAGATCTACTCAGGCTGCTGTTGTGGCTTTATTTGGGTTCACCGCTGTCTAGCCCTCCCTACTGAGGCTCCCCTCTAAGGTGCTCAAAGCAGTTACTCCATTTTTTTTTACTGGCAGAACAGCCTTTTTGAAAGAGCTGTGTCGGAGAGAGCCCACAGGGACCCTCTCCCCCTTTCACCCCTGAGCAGGTCTTTATACTCGTCCGACGTCACCTTTTACTATGGGGGCCTTGGCCGTTGATGGATCACCTACAGCTGTTTCAGATAGACTCTGAGGATGATTTTAATTTTTTTTCTTTTTTTACGCAGGGCCCTTTGAAAAAAAGGACAGAGGTTCAAAAGGAAGACTGTCTTTCTCAGGTGTACGGCCGGCCGATCTACCAGGGTCATAGGAGCACCCTTAAAAAATCGCCGTACCTGAGGTTCAGTTCGCCCCCTCCCAAGGCAAAGCCTCTGCGACCTAAACTGATAGAAAGTGTTCGAGGTAGGTAAATCGCTCTCTCTCCCCTCCTGCTTAAAAACCAGTATTTCAAAAAGTCGGTCTTCCTCTTCCACGAAACACTCTTGTTTGCCTTGGTTTGGGGATCATTCTTTCTAGCCACTGCTATTCGTGGCTTGAGCCACCCATTGTCTCAGCTTTTTTCAGAACTGAGCCAAAAGGGCTTGCTGTCACGTTAGAGCCGGAGGATGTCGGCTGGCGGGGAGTTCATGCCCCTTCCGCCTGCATTCCTCCACAACAGGAAGTGAACCGAGGGCTTCTGTGCTTAATCTGAAGTGTTCAGGGGGTCAGGAAGGAACAATCGCTACCCTTCAAGCTCCGAAGATCTCATGAACCCTGGAGATTTCTGATTCTTATTCTATTTATTTGGTCTGCTCTGAAAGGGATCTTCTCGGAGCATCAAGGGTGTCTCATGACGTCTCCAACCTTCCTTCCCAGGTACAAAAGTAAAATCAACAAGGACACAAACCGGCCCCTCTGTCTGTCCTGAGAAGCCGCCTACAGGATCTGCTCCTCATCAAGAACTCCAGTATCTCTTCAGCCCCATCAAAGAGACATCCAGTGCCTTCGGTCCTCTTGAAGGGCATCTCATCCCAATGGCAATTCCACTAGGTAAGGAAAACAAAACAAAACACAACAACAACAAGCCAGTCTTTGAGTTACGGACTGCCTTGATGGGCTGGATACTAAGGGATAACTTTGTTGAACCCGATTCCTACCCTCTTCAGATCTCTCCTCCCTGGTTAGTCATGCCCAGTTCCGATTCCATCTGTGCATTCAGTGAACATCCATTGGGCGGCTTTCTGACTCAAATCCAGTAGAAAATTGCAACAAGTGTAGGCTCCTTTGAATCAAAGGCACTGACAGGTACAATAGGATCTCCATATCTGTGGGGTATGAGTTCCAAGGCACCTCCCATGGATGCAGAAAACCCAGGAGAATAGCTAATTTTATACAGTGGTGCCTCACTTAACGATTGCCCCGCATTACGATGAATCTGCTTTATAACGATGTTGTTGCAATCGCAAAACAGTGGTCTCAATGGGGGAATTTTGCTTAGCGATGATCAGTTCCCTGCTTCGGGAACTGATTTGCGCTTTATGACGATCATAAACAGCTGATCGTCGGGTTTTCAGAATGGCTGCCGGATGCTTAAAATGGCTCCCCACTGTGCTTAGGGATGGATTCCTCGCTATACAGGCAGTGAAAAGGGCCGCCGTATTGAGGATCTTCGCTGGACGGTGGGTTTTTAGCCTATTGGAACGCATTGAACAGTTTTCAATGCGTTTAATGGGTTTTTAAATTTCGCTTTACAACATTTTCGCTTAACAGCGATTTTCCTGGAACGGATTATCGTCGTCAAGCAAGGCACCACTCTACTGTACATAGCAGGTTCTCTGGCTCCATCTAGTGGCCAGTTCTGGTAATGATATCATAGAAATAAATATTTCTGGGATTTTTCTGTTAATCCTTTTAATATTTTCAGGCCGTGGATAAGTGAAACACTGGATACTGGTTCCACAGAGACAGGAGTCCTACTGTAGTTTTTCTTAGGCATCCCAACTAGCATTTTTAAAAAATGAAAACGTAAAGATTTCGCTTTACAACATTTTCGCTTAACAGCGATTTTCCTGGAACGGATTATCGTCGTCAAGCAAGGCACCACTCTACTGTACATAGCAGGTTCTCTGGCTCCATCTAGTGGCCAGTTCTGGTAATGATATCATTGAAATACACATTTCTGGGATTTTTCTGTTAATACTTTTAATATTTTCATTGTGGATAAGTGAAACACTGGATACTGGTCCCATAGAGACAGGAGTCCTACTGTGGTTTGCTCAGGGATCCCAACTAGTATTTTTTAAAAAATGAAAACATAAAATCTAGGGAAACTGCAGAAACAAACCAGAAGCACATTAAACTTATTTAGGACACTTATTCAGGAAGAAGAATAAGTATAGATGTCATCCTGAACCTCCTTCCATGTGGCTGTGTCTTGTTTCATGACATACTGGCTGAAGCCAGGCTGGCTCACCTAAAGCCGTTATGCGAGACACAAGGGTCTAATTTTTTCTTGATGCTTTCCGTACAGGCAGGGTTTGTAGATAGCCACTTTCCTCCCCCCTCTCCAGACTCCTGGCACGCAAGTGTGTGATTTTTATGGCACAAATGAGAAACACATGGATTGGGTGAACATGGCAGTCGGTTTGCATGGCTTCGAACGATTCCTCACTCCCTCTTTCTAGGAAGGGTTTGGCATGGCATTGCAACTTACGTCATGTGGAACTGTGCTCATCTCTTTGTCCAGCTCATCACATTTTTTTCGTGTTCGTTTAAATGCCAAACAGTGCCATGACGGCAGGTTTCTCGAAGGTGGCTCCCTCACCTGCTTCTTTTCGGTTTTAAACTTCCATTAGGTCAAAAACGGATCAGCAGTCTCTCCCCTCCGTTTGGCGGAAGAAGTCTGGGGGAATTCCATCCTGTTACCGTGACAGTCTCTCTTCCTCCTCCTCCTCCTTCTCCTCCACAAAAGCCACAGCCGAAGATAACAAAGCCCAACATTGCCGTAATAGAGATGAAATCAGAGAAGAAGGACCCTCCTCAGCTTACTGTGCAGGTATGGAGCCAGGATGTTTCCTTCGTTCAGACTTTGGGAAAGACAGAAAAAAACGCTTTCCTCCTTAGAATGGGTGGCATGGTTTTAAACACAGTACTTTCTTCTCTAGAAATGCCAGCAGCTGTGATGCATAAATAAATACCAGTTTTTTTGGTTTTTTTAAGCAATTCTAGGACTTTTCCAGTCCCAGATGTTGCCTAGAAGGCTCCCCCCCATAGACTTCTGGGAGTGGAAGGTGGCGGCGGGGGTGGGGGGAGAGAGAGATGCCAAAGAGGCCTTTCTATCACCCTTGTCTGCTTCTTCCACATGCATGGGCTGGAGAGAAGAAGGGACCCCTCTTTGACCCAGTGCTTGCTGAGAATCGGCCTGCGGCACCGTGAAGAGGGTGGCCTTGCTTACCCCCCTTTTGCGCTCAGGAGAAAGAGCCTTTCCCTCTACTACCCTTTGTGCAGACAAGAGTGGCCTTTATTGTTTGTGCATGGTCAGGGTGCTGCAGATTGCAGCTGTAACAACAGTGACAGTCACAACAACAATTTATAGTGCCTTCCAATGAAACTCATAATGTATAAACATTTAACTGTAATTTGTTGTAGGTTTCACAACAATTTATAGTGCCTTCCAATGAAACCCATAATGTACAAACATTTAACTGTAAGTTGTTGTAGGTTTCTCCGAGCTGTTTGGCTGTGTTCTGGAGGTTTCTGTTCCTTACTGTTTTGCCAGTCTTTGTGGCTGGCATCTTCACATCTTCACGGCACACAAAAGATGAGCTAACGACACCCATCAATCACAGTGAGAGATCATCTCCCCCTCCCTTATCACAACAATACACCCATAACAAAAAACACCCTGATCACCATAATCATCCAATCTCCTGAAAAGGACAAAAAGCTGATCCCACAGCTACAGATATTCAACTACCCACGCACTACACCAGAACACAGAGTTCTAGCTCCTGTCCTCTGAAGATGCCAGCCACAGAGACTGGCGAAACGTTAGGAAGAAAAACCATCAGAATGAAGAAAAACCTTCAGAATACAGCCAAACACCCCAAAAAACCTGCAACAACGATTGGATCCTGGCCGTGAAAGCCTTCGAGAATACATTTAGCCGTAACTTTAATTGATTTTGTGTGAGTGAGAGAGCAAGAGAACCAGGGCTTGTACATCAACAGGAAACCCCTCAAAACAAGCAATAAACAAAAAGAACCAACTGCTGAACACAATTTTTTAAAAATACAAATTTATTTATCCCACTCATCTGGCCAAAGCCCACTCTGGGCGGTTTACAACGTACATAAGCAAGATAATTAAAATGCAGTATAACCAAATGGAAAATAAAAAAATAAAAAAATACAAATAAACAAGTACAGTCGAAGGATACAAATACATTGACATAAAAGCATTTAGAACAAATAAAATTGGAATGGATGTCTCCTGAGATGCGTAGGATATATTCACAGTTATGTTTGTGCAGAACTGAAGCTTTATATTTTTTTAGGTTTCATAATTAGGCCAACTAGTCCAATTCCATGTTCCAGCTAAGTTAATAATCAGACCTGTTGTATCGCTTAAAGCAATACAGGTTGGGTGTAAAAAAAATTAATAGTGTGCAGAGTTCAAGTTTCCCCCTACATTTCTGTATTTTTTCCTCTTCTGGCAAATAATAAACCTTCGCCCCTCGTCCCGGCTTCAGCATTTCTGGAAATAAAACATCTAATCTCTGCCTCCCTTTGTTTGCAGAATGTAGTTCTGCTTAGGAGCTCAAAGCATCAGCATTGTTTACAGAGGGTACATTGTTTTGTAAGTGGTATTTCCAAATTAATGGCCCACCCATGGCTGGAGTATTTAGCACCAGAGGGCAAGCATTTAATGGCACAACCTAGGCGGCGCTCCAGGAGCAGCCTGTGGCCTTTTGATACTATAGAGCTTGGGTTCAAATTGTGAGCATTTTCTTTCCAGGTGCTGCCGAGCGTTGATATTGACAGCGTTTCGAGTGACAGCGCAGCATCGAATCACATTCCATTAGCACACTTCCCTCCAACGACCATGCTCCAGGTATCTGAATGTACTCCAGACAGCTTCTGATAAGTACCCATAGTTTTCTGTGTATAAGAGGCCCCATGTATAAGATGCCCCCCACTTTTCTAATCAAAATTAAGAAATCTAAGTGGGGCTTATCAAGTGTAGGGGAAAAGGGATCAAAGCCCTGCAGGATCGCTTTGATCCCTGCTTCCCCTTCCACTTGTTTTCTCTGCTCAGCTTGCTTCCATGTATAAGACGACACTCAATTTTAAGTCTAAAGATTTTAGAGAAAAGTATAGTCTTGTACATGGAAAAATACAGTAAATGTTGAGTGGCTGTACAGATACGGCGGTGGTGTGGGGGTTAGTGACAAGCTACCCCCAAGAACTTGGTGTACAGCCTGAGGAAGATGAATGATCGTTGAAAGCTTGCTGTTTGTTTTTTCTTTTGTTATTTTATTTTAGTAGCCCAATAAAGATATCACCTGTTCCTGCATTTGTATTGTTTTGGGGACCACATGGCCTTTTTCTGATTTTTACTAAACGAGGAGGCAGAAGAGCTGGGCTCAGATCCTCCCTTGGCTGTAGAAACTCATTGGGGGGGGGGAGACAGATTAGAACTGCATGAAACTGCTCCTTAAATACTTCACCTCCTTTGAAAGTTCTGTTAGGGTCAGTGCACATCGGTCCTGACTGACATACAGACATCATCACGGACTCTCTTCATCCCAGTAAAGAGGTGTAGAAGAGTGGCTTCTGAAGGAGAAAACGTGACATTGAAAGGGCAGAACAGCCTGGGGAGGTTTTTTTTTCTCCCCCTGCAACAGGTTTAACTATATTTCCAGAAGTTGTGAAAGAGGTACCATTCAGGCCATTTTCCCGCCATGTAGTTCCTACCTACCGAGAAAGCTTTGTTTTGTTTGTCTGCTTTACGTGGTAAATCTCAAACTCTTGTGTAATCTGGGTTTTTCTAGGCCAGTCCAGAGGAGAGTCTGCTCCAGGACGATGAAGAGCTGAAACTTCCTGGGGCTGACTTTGTGGATGTGACTGATGTCGCTCAGGTGGGTGTTTCAATGGCCTCTCTCTTACGAAGGAGAAAAAATGAGTCCGTTTCTGAAAACCCCTGTCTTTACTATTAAAAGAGCCTCCTGCAGCAGGCGCTCATTTCATTAATTTTGAATCCCTCAACGTCGTGGAATGGCATTTGTGAAAGCATAGCCCTCCTTATTCCAGTTGGTTTTTGTGATGTGTATGAGTTTGACATGAGAACCTGTCTGGATAGTTTCCTGTTATCAGAAAAGGATGCAATAGGACTATGGTCTCTGCGGGAGATCAGTTCCACAGGCTCCCCTCCCCTGGGTGCTGAAAACCAGGGAAGTATAAAACAGTTGCAAAAGATCTCCTGGATGGAGAATTAGTGCAGGGCCCCAGAGGGAGAGCACAGCTGCGATACAAGGAGATCTGCAAGTGGGATCTGAAGGCCTTGGAAATGGACCTCAACAGATGGGAAGCCTTGTTCTCTGAGTGTTCAGCCTGGAGGCAGGCTGCACAAGAACAAGCACTCCAAACCATTGTGATGAAAGCTAAGATCCAAGGAGTCAGGGCTAACAGCAAATGTCGACTCTGCCAAGAAAAAGATGAAACTGTGTCACACCTCATTTGTGAATGTCCAAAGATGGCACAAACAGACCACAAAGTTAGACATGATAGAGTGGCAAAGTTAGTTCACTGGTCCTTATCTCTGGCCAGCCTCCAAAAATGCATGGGAACCTCAGGTAGAGAAGGTGTCAGAAAATGAGGATGTCAAGGTCTTGTGGGATTTCTGGATCCAAATGGAAAGACACCTTGAACGTAACACACCAGACCTAGTAGTAATAGAACGAAGAAAGATTTGGATCATTGACATTGCCATTCCAGGAGATGCCAGAGTTGAAGATAAAGAATTGGAAAAACTAACAAAATTCAGAGACCTGGCCATCGACGGGATGTGTGGATTCAGATAGTTCCACTTGAAGAACTATGGTTACTGTTAAGTAAGCTCTCTTTCTTCTTCATGGCGTCCGTGAATGCACGCAAATGGGTGACTGACAAGCTCACCTACCGGATGGTGGGATGTCACAGTAGAAAGGATGTCAAGACCGCTCTGCCAAAAGCAGCATCATTCTTAGCCTGAACATCCAGACAGTAGTGCCTCACAAAGGTCGATGGATTAGACCATGTAGCTGCACAGCAGATGTGAGGAAGTTCTATTAAATCCAATTAATGCATTCCAATGGGGAAAATCGTCGTTGTTTTGCAAAAATCGGCCATTGAACATAACACACCAGACCTAGTAGTAATAGAACGAAGAAAGATTTGGATCATTGACATTGCCATTCCAGGAGATGCCAGAGTTGAAGATAAAGAATTGGAAAAACTAACAAAATTCAGAGACCTGGCCATTGAAGTATTTCACCTTTGGAAGAAATGCAACTCAGCAGTCCCTGTAGTCGTTGGGGCTTTGGGAACAAGATCGAGAAACGTCACACAGCATTGTAAGCAGTTGCAGATCTCAGAAATCACACCACTCTCAAAGATACAAAAACTGGCTATATTAGGAACACCATACCTACTGCGCCGATGTTTAACCAATACTTAGGTTTTTAGTTAAAATCTGGACTTGTTATATAATACTAGTCAATGATTGACTGTGCCTGGTGTTTTTGAAGAAGAAGAACAAGAAGAAGCATCCATGGGGGGGACAGGACTTGGAGGCCCTACTGTAGTATCTCTCTCACACAATGATCCTTATTATTTACATTCAGTGCTCAATCTTTTAAGACATGAACAAAGCTTTTCCGGCCCCTCCAATTCTTCAGGAATTGCTTTTATCTCGCATTTGTGGCACTTGCAACGATGTGTTCAAACACAAACCCTGCAAAAAAAATGTTCCAGCTCCCGCCCACGTTTGGCTTAGTTCTGCTTAGACAACGAGCCGCGTGATCCGCAAGAGTCAACTTTAATCTGGAAGCAAGTATTTCGAGATTCTGAAAGGAAGGAAAATGTTGAGACATCAAAAGAAAAAAAAATCTTCTGAACCGCTTTGCTGGAAGCACACGAACCCAAAGAAATGCCTGTAAAATGTTGGCTAGACACTCTCTCTTTGTTATGAGAGGCATGAGAGGGAAGGAAAACCAGCTTTCCCTATGGTTGAGTCATTTTGGGGGGTCGTTTCATGCCAATTCCTTGGCTTGGCTGCTGATTCTTCTTGGCTCTATTTTTACACTCTTTTGATCTCACTGGCTGTGACCCTGCTTGGCCCGAGAGTCTCGGGGTTTTACCACAATTTGAGTAGCACAGCTACACAACATTCTCATAATTATATTTAGAAAAGTACTGCCTCTCCTGCATTGTTGATCATTGCTCCCATCAGGGCTGAAGGTACTGTTCTTTTTTTATTGCAGACTACAAAGCAAGTACAGTTTCTCTTCATAGACAATTTGTGTTAGCCGTCAGGGATTAGAGACATATGCTGTATACTCTACATATTTCCTTAGCCATCTCTCTACGTGGTGCTTGCCCATTTTGTCGGATTCCCGTGCCTGCCAGATCAGTATCCACAGTTTCACTTATCCACAGTTTGAAAATATTAAAAATATTTTTTAAAAACCGAGAAATACAGTCGTGCCCCGCTTAACGATTACCCCGCATTACGACAAATCCTCTTCATGATGTTTTTGCGATTGCACTTGCAATTGCAAAAAAATGTTTTAAGTGGGGTTTTTTCGCTTTGCAAAGATTGGTTCCCTGCTTCAGGAACCGATTCTTCGCATTACGACAATCAAAACAGCTGATTGTCGGGTTTTCAAAATGGCCGCCAAGTGCTTAAAATGGCTCTCTGCTGTGCTTAGGGACGGATTCCTCGCTAGACAGGTACTGAAAATGGCCGCCGTATGGAGATCTTCGCTGGACGGTAAGTTTTAACCCCTTTGGAACGCATTAATCGGGTTTTAATGCGTTTCAGTGGGTTTTTTTTTTTTTTGCTTTACAACATTTTCGTTCTACAGCGATTTCGCTGGAACGAATTAACGTCGTTAAGCGAGGCACCACTGTATGGATTTCCCCAATGTATTTACCACTGGCCACTAGGTATTGGAGATAGGCACCAACTTTGGTTTGGAGTTTCGTGCCAGGTTGCAGGCACAGCACCACAGCGGCCACGCATTCCCTTCCCCAACTTCCCCAGCCCATAACCCACTCACCAGTTGGAGAGTGAGAAGGAGAGGAGTATGGGCCAGCTGGTGAGTGGGGGGATCCAGCTGGGGAGCTGAAGAAACGGAACATGTAGCACCTGTGGTACCATCTGTACAAATTAGCACAACTTTTCGACCCAAGAGGTTCATGCCTGTCTCTAATCCATAGTGTGATCTCTATCTCCCTCTAGTAGCCAATTCTGGTAATACACCATGACAATACGTTTTGTTCTGGATTTTTCTTTTCTTTTCCGATGCTATGTCTAGCGTTCACTATTATCCACAGTTTTCAGCATCCATGGCGGGGCTTTGAACCAAAACCCCAAGTCATACTGGGGCTCCCTCGCTGGGTATCTTTAAGAATCAATTAAAAACATAGATGTTTCGGCAGGGCTTCCCATCAGATAATTCCTGACGCCTTTTTCTTCCCTCTCCTATTTTATCTTCCATCTTGCTTAATGCTTTTGTTATGTAAAAAAGTGTTTTATACATATATTTATTGTATTATTTTATGTTGTTAGCTGCCTAGAGTGGTCCTGACCCGACCAGATAGGCGGGATATAAATAAATAAATAAATAAATGAAAATGAAAATGAAAAGGCAGGTTAGTGAACTATAGCCTTCTGCTAGCTTTCTTTGCTCACAATGTTTACTAAGAAATGGCTATTTCTCAGAGACACTCTCTTTGATGCAAGTTGACTTAAACCTTGTGCTGGTCATAGTGTATACGGGCATGGGATTACACCTTGAACAACTGTGCTTAGATAAATGCAGCTAGGATTCTACATTTATCTAAGCCACGTGACCACGTAAACTGTCGACTGACAAGCACTCGCTCTACGGCTTGGAGACGGGGATGACCACTGCGCCCTAGAGTCGGACACGACTGGACTCAATGTCAAGGGGAACCCTTTACCATTACCTATGATTCTTGTGGCCCATTAAAAACTAGCGTGTTGTGTTTGGTATAAGCTCCTGTCGACTGTAGCCTATTTTTTCAGCCGTGTAAGTTCATCTTTGTTTCCACTAGAGTCAAGAAGATGATGATGGAATACCAGACTTCTCAGAACCAGTCCTGGAATTCAACAGGCAGCAAGAAAGAGAGTCTCCAAAATATAACGGACCTCCTTTCCCACCAGCAGCTCCTGCCCCTCAGCTCTCAGCAGACATTCTAGATGAGATAATTGAAAAACGGGAGACCCTGGAAAACAAACTGATTGGCTGGTAAGTTCTCTGACTCCTTTTCAGATACAGTGGTGCCCCGCATGACGACGATAATCCGTTCCAGGAAAATCGCTGTACAGTGAAATCGTCGTCATGCGAAAAACAAATTCCCCATTGGAATGCATTGAAACCCCGTTTAATGCATTCCAATGGGGAAATTACCTCGTCGTCCAGCGAAGATCCTCCATAGGGAAGCCATTTTGGGACTGCTGATCAGCTGTTTTTAATCACCGTCGCGCAAAAACCGGTCCGGAAAACAGCGGGGAGCCATTTTGTGAAGTCGACGATAGTCGGAAAAAATTGTCGTTTTGCGAATAAACGGTTTGCGAATCATGGACCTAATCGTCGTCACACGAAAAAAACCCATAGGAAACATTTTGCGATCGCTATAGCGATCACAAAAATGTCAGCATCCTGCGGATTTGTTTTCATGCAGCATCGTCATCATGCGGGGCACCACTGTACTTGAAAGACTGTCCTACAGAGGAGGAGCTGGATCTGTTCTCAGTCATCCTTGAGTGCAGGATATGTAATAATGGGCTCAAGCGACAGGAAGCCAGATTTATGCTGAATGTCAGAAAAATCTTCCTAACTGTTAAGAGCCGTACGACAATAGAATCCATAACCTTGGGAGGTGGCGAGTGCTCCAATGCTGGAGGCGTTCAAGAGAAAATTGAATAATCATCTGTCTGATTTGCTTTGATTTGGGTTCTTGCATTGAGCAGGGAGTTGGACTCGATGGCCCTATAAGTCCCCTTCCAACTCCGTTATTCTGATTTTGTGATTCTATGACTATTGGTTATTAAATGGTACTGAATTGTACTTCTTCTCCCACTGATTCTTGATAACCCTCTCCAAATTCTTTATTGTCTTCTGGTACCACTGTTTACCTACATTTAAAAAAGCAAAATGAAACACACATGTTCCTTCTCAGCTACTTCATCAGAGGCAGGGATGATGCGACGGGGAGGAGATTGGAATAACTGCTGTGGGCAAATACTGTGACATGTAGTTAAACTCCTAATTTTGGTTAGATGTACAAAGTAAAGACCCAAGACAATAGCTTATCAGAGGAATAGGTTTTGCAAGATTTGTAGATGGAAAGATAGGTTTCAGATCAGGTGAGTAATCGGGGCATAAGGTCTTGGCAACAGAAGCAATAAAGGAGAATGTAAAAGTCCTATAAAGAAATACATCAGAAGATTCACTGAAGAGAAGTTCATCGGAACCTGCTTTCTTCAAGATGTTCTCTCCTTCAACTCTGACCAGGGCCGTCAGGAATTTAAGAGATGTAGCCCAAAAGAACTGGTTGAGAGGAAGGCCACAGAGTATGAAGAGCTAAATTTGGAGATAGGAATGGATATAAGATAGTTTAGGTCAAAGCTGTAAATGGATCAAAAGCCCAGGACTGAGAATATGTTCCAGATATGGGGAGCGGGAATAGGAAGCCCGTGGTAAAGTGTTTCAACTTTGCTTCACGCAGTGTAAAAGCAGGTGGCTTTAAAATATCAATATTTATTCCTCCAGGGTGGAGCAAGAAGTAATGGCACGCATCATCAGCGAGATGTACCCCACTCAGAAGGAGGCAGTGCCCGACAGAAGCTTGTCGGAAAGCGAGGAGAGCCAGGCTGCCTCTTCGGACATCGGTGAGTGAGAGAATAGTTGTCTTTTCCCCTCCTTGTGTCTCCGACGAGGAGAAGAAAGAAGCCAGGGGTTTAAGTAGGGCTGAGTTTAGGGAAGTCATTTCTAATAGAAAGCTGGCGGTTGTTTCTAGGGTCCCAAATGTCATCGGAGTTGTATGTCTTGGAGAAAAAGAGTTTCTTCTTATTTTTAAACTCCAAATCCCAAAGTTCTCTAAGAATTTCCCAGGCAGAATGCTCATTGTGCCAGCCCTTAAGCACCTACATACACCTTCATTTCCACTCACCTGGAGAAATTCTAGGCCTTCTTCTCCATTTCCTACTTCAATACTTCCTGTGTTCCAGCAGGAAATGGAGGGATCCACGCCATGGGTCTGTAGGGTGGGGCAAATGTTGTTTCCATGGAGAACAAAACTCTTGAGTCTTAAGATGCAATCCTTACGAGGGTCTGTTTGATTTTTTTTTTGCCTGCCTTCTGATTTATCTTTAGTTGAAGCTGCAGGTGCCAGCGGTTTCCAGCTGTTTGTCGACGCCGGCGTCCCAGTGGATTCAGAAATGATTCGACATTTTGTAAACGAGGCACTGGCTGAGACAATTGCCATCATGCTGGGTGACCGAGAAGGCCAGAAAGCAGCTCCTCCTGCTACGGCCCTTCCTTCAACAATGCCAGAAAAGGTGAGTTATTTCCTTAAAAAAAGAAAAAGCCTAACAGGGGTTTGTGCTCCTATAATCAAGAAATCCATTACCAAGGCTCAAGCTGGCCTGGATGTTGCGTTGCCTGATTTACATGGAGTATTTTTTTGTCTGTTAGGAGTGGAGATTGAATGGGGAAGGGATATAATTTGTGAATTCTCAGAACTACACACTCCTTTGCTACAAGATGTCCCCAGATCTGGCTTCGTCCTCTTGCGCAGAGTTTTACCATGGGTTGGCCAGCTTTCATCCCCGGAATGAAACTTTGAATATCTTGAGCAGTGATGTATGGCACACATGTATGCAACTGAAATAACTGAATTATTAAGTGAAGAGCATCGTTTCTGTTCTGTTGCCCTCATTGCAAACGTTTAATAACCCAGAGTCTAAAATCTCCTGGCATTTGTCCCAGAACTGCCCCGAGCTTAGAAATATGCATTTGAAATCTGTAGAGGCTGGAAAGTTGCTTGATGTGAATTTATTTTTTAGATATAGCTCCTGCAAGCAATAGTTGGATGCTGTTACGTTTCACTGATCTTATGGTTTTAAAAGGGCAGTCTTTTAATACCTATAAGAAGAAGGTTTATTTTATTACTTGCTTGCATGTTTCCATTCTCCTCCGTGACATTCAGAAGTAATTTGTGAACTGGGCTAATTTCCATAAGCATGGTCTCTTCTTTCTTGTTGACCTCACTGTTATAAGAAATCCTCCCTCTGTTTCTGAAAGTACTGTAGTAAAGAAGTTTGTAGTTCTGAACGCCAGTCTAACCTCCCTCGTGTCCTTCCAGATGTTTTGAATTAAGCCCACAATATCCCTGTCTGTTGGCTGTGTTGCCTGGGACAATGGGTGTTGTAGTCCTCAACATCTGGAGGGATTCAGGTTGGCCAAGCCTGTCCTAAATGAAGTCATGTAGGGGTTTCTCTGAGCTTGATTTGGCTCAGGTGACTGACCTATCTGGTGGACAGAGGCATACTGTGAGGGGAACGAGGACGCTGCTCAGGATCACAGAAACCTATCCAGATGTTCTTTTCGCAGTTTTAGCTCCTCTCTCTGTGTGTGCCTATATAGTTCCTGCATGGAACGAGGGGTTGGACTTGATGGCCTTATAGACCCTTTCCAATTCCACTATTCTGTGATTCCTCAGTTGAGTGCATTATATTGAGTTTGTTTGAGAGTCAGCGTGGTGTATTGGGTAGAGTGACAGACCTGGTCTCAGGAGGCCTGGATTCAGATCCTGGCTGCAGGGACTGGCACTGTAAAACCCCACCTTAAACACACCTTGGAGACCGTATAAGGGTCGTCGTAAGTTAGAATCATCTTGATAGCGCCTAACACACATTAACTTGACTTTGTAAAGTTCACCCATTCCCCCAACATATGGAAAAACTGGCTCGTGTTAAATTTTTTCCCCCCTCTTCAGATCCCATTGCATGTCAGACTTTCTTTATTGAAGGTTTAGGGTTTGTGGGGTGTGTGTGTGAAGTTTGCTGCTTGGATAAATCTTTTGCGTATCTAAACCTTTTCAGTTAAATTGAAAGAGACTTAGCCAAGGTTGCTCAGAATGGGCTCAGGACCAGCCTAACTGTTTATGTCTCATTGCCTTTGTGTGGTTCCCCCCAACCCCAGGAAACCACAGTATCGACTCCCGTGGTCACCCCCGAAGCCACACCGCCTCAGTCACCCCCGCCCTTGAAAGAACCGCTTGGGGTAAAAACGCCCGAGTCTTCCCTGTCAGCTAATGAAATGGACGGCGGCATTGACGAACAGCAGCTAACAGCAGCAGGTATATAAGAGCAGGATTTATGACCGGGGAAGAGGTGCTGATTTACTTCCACGCGTCCATTCTGCTTGAAAGCAGAATGGGCGAGTGGGAAGCTCTTAGTGGAACTGGATTAGTCCTGTGGCCAGGTTGGCCTCCAGAACCAAGCCAGTGGCGTGTCGCTTCCTCTGCTATCATAAAGCTAATCCTGTCCCTTTCATAGCATAGCAAAGGACCCTGCTCTCTCCACCCAGAGACCAGAGGTAACAGGGTTCCCCCCCCCCCATCATGCCAGTAAGGGAAGGCCTGGTCCTGAACATGAGCAAGGCAAGGGGTTGGTGGGTGGGTGATCTCGCAGTGACTTCCAATAATCATGTTGCCTCCAGTCTTGAGATCAGAGAGCAGCAGCAGGGGATCCAAGCAGGATGGAGAGCTCAGCTCTTACCTCCCAATCTGAGAGAGGATTATTTTTTGTACAGTTTCGCTTTCCCAGTGGAAGGTCAAAGACGGACAAGGGCACCTCCCAAACTCAGTGAGAGGGATGTCGGATGGAGAGGGTGAAAGGCGAGGTTGGGATCAGAGAGCATTTCCTGGCCCGTTTGTGGGTCAGAACAAGCTCATGGGGTGGAAGTCCCCAGTTTTTTTTTCTAGCATCCTATGAGCCTTTTTGGAGGAAAAGAAAAAAAATTCTTGCCGGACTGCCTCATTAGATGTTGTTGTTTAACTACACCATGAGGCAGGAAGCTTTGCTGCTATCAACTCCCCAATCTTTTTTCCCCACCCCTGGCAATTTGTCTGCTTTTTTTTTAATCGGGGGGGGGCTCAAATTTATTCTTGAGTTGGTTTCC